AGATTTTCCAAAAGCAAAATGGGAGGCAGATCTTTCAGGTATCAGGCTCCTCTCCTGTGGAACCAACTTCCAGTTTCTGTCCTTAAGCTAACACATTGTCCGGTTTTAAGACTGGGCTTAAGACCTTCCTTTTTGAGAAATCTTATAGTTAGGGTTGGCTTGTGAATGGTAAATGGACTGTACTTATATAGCACCTTTCTATCTGATTGAGATACTCAAAGCACTTTACATTACAATCTGTGCCTCATTTACCCATTCATCCAGCACTCTACTAGATCTCTACAAAGCTAATTGAACAAATCATTCTAAAGAGACTAATCAGTGCTTTATCACATTCATACACTGATGGGACACACATCAGAGGCAACAAGGGGATCAGTGTCTTGTCCAGGGACACTTCGGCATGTGACTGCTGGTGGATTTGAACCCCCAACTTTTGCATTGGCAGACGACTGCTCTTAACCACTCAGTCACAGCCACCCTGTGCCAGCGCTTGTTATGCTGCTATATGCTTAGACTACTGGAGGACAAATTGACCTAATTTCCTTAAAAGAATTGCTAAAATTTAATATTTTTCATTTGATACTATTTCTATCTTAACATGAGATTCTCGACCTGCCATTGTGTATCTGTTCCTCCTTCCTGTTCCTCTCAAACCCAGCTGATCGAAGCAGATGGCCGCTTGTCCTGAGCCTGTTTCTCAAAGGTTTCTTCCTCATGAGGGAGTTTTTCCTTTCCACTGTTGCCTTCGTGCTTGCTCAACATGAGAGTTCTGTGATGGAGTTATATTCAAAGCAGTCTGCTCCTCAGATAAGTAATGTTCATTATTTTTTATATATGAATGTTTCTGTTCAGTGTCCTGAGACAACTTCTGTTGTGATTGGTGCTATATTAATAAACTGAATTGAATTGTTCCTGAGGCTGACACATTGTCTACTTTTAAGTCTGGGCTTAAGTCTTTCCTTTTTGCTAAATCCTATAGTTAGGGTTGGCTTGGGTTTCCTGAGCTGTCCCTTAGTTATGCTGCTATAGGCTTAGACTGCTGGAGGACAAACTGAGCACATTTCTTCACAATGTTACTGTCTTTATTTACTCTGCTCGATCTGTTTTTTATTTATAATTATTTTTTCTATCCTTGACATGTGTTTTTGTCTTTCAGGTACACCTGCACCTACATCTGGACCTACCATTCTGTGTTTGTTTGTTTTTCCTTCCTGTCCTCTCAAACCCAGCTGGTTGAAGCTGATGGCCGCTTGTCCTGAGCCTGGTTCTGCTTGAGGTTTCTTCCTTTTAAAAGGTAGTTTTTCCTTTCCACTGTTGCCATTGTGCTTGCTCAGGATGGGAGACTGCGACTAAGTGAAGATTCAATGAGTCTGCTGGCTTCCTTACAGAACTTTACTAATTGACTTTTCTACCAGGTATGTGAATGTTTCTGTTCAGTGCCCTGAGACAACTTTGTTGTGAATTGGCACTATATAAATATACTGAATTGAAAATTGAAACTTATCCATGAATGGTGTTCCTATTGAAATGTGGATTCTTACAAATACTTTGGAATTTTACTTGATGCACATCTCTCTTTTAAGCCATATATTGAAAACTTGATAAACTGAATTAAAACTGTTTTTTTTTTTTTCAGAAATAGATCTAGCTTAACTCTGAAGGCCAGAAAACACCTTGTAACTGCTACTTTCCTACCAGCCATTGACTATTATTTTACATGAATGCCCCTGCCAGCTCCTTGCAGATGTTGGATGCTGTCTACCATGGCGCACGAAGATTCATAACTGGTTGTAACTACCTCACTGCACCCTGTTCTCATTGGTCAGTTGGACATTAACTACATGTAGACTCTCACACTGGTTCATTTTCATCTATAAATCACTCCTTGGTCTGCTACCTTGTTATATCTCCCCCCACATGCCGTCAGTGAAGTTACAGCGTGCGCTCTCAGGCCATCATTATTCAATTCAATTCAAATTCAAAAATACTTTATTAATCCCAAAGGGAAAATATTTTATTGTTGTAACTCGTTATCCTCATTTCATTAAGAGATGTTATAGATGCTGGTGGCTGTAGACAGGAAGGATCTCTTGTAAAGGTCCATCCCACAGTGGATCCTAAGAAACTGGCTGCAGATACCGTCCGATCCGTCTACCCAGACTCGGCTGACCTCTCAGTTCCCCTGGACTGTAGGACCGCTTGAATGCTGGGCAGAACTCCTCCCAGAGCGATGGCCACTCCTCCCAGCCGTCTGCCGAGCTCCTCATAGCTGTGGACAGCCGATTGTAGGTGCTGAGGGACGATCCTGTCCTTCTGCTGTCGTGAGCCGTGTTTCCTGCTAGTTCCAGGATCTCAGTGGTCAGGCACTCGAGCACAGCTGGCAGGTACATGAGAATGCGTCCATAGAACATCCTTTTCAACTCATTTGAGAGTTGGGGCCATAGTTGAGATATTATTTGAGCTTTTGAGATGTTAATCAGCTGCTGTTGTTGTAGAAAACAGCCTTGTTGCCATGGTTACGCATCATAACAAATGTCCAAAACTTAAAAAGTTTCAGTAAAAATCCTTTCATCTGCACAGCATCTGATACCAGAGGAAACAATGATCCAAAAAAATATGATTTACATCCAGAAAACCAGGAATTAAAGTTTCGAAAAGCAAAATCTCAGAATGAAAGTAACAGAGCTGCTCCAACATGCAGCCACCTTGAGCGGCGCAATTCTGCAATTACCCGCAGTGTCCCCTGAGTACAGACTGAACTTGGCAAAAAGGCCGTTTCTTACTCTGCCCCTGTAACCTGAAACACCACAAGGTCTGAAGCTGTCCAATTTGATTTCTTTAAGGAATTTTAAACATTTGATAAGGTCATTGGAAAAATCTAAGCAAATTTATGTTTTCATAACACTACTTTTATTTTTATTTATTGCTTTTTATTGTTGTACACAGTATATTGTTGTCTGTACTTTATATGTTGTCTGTCTAAAACAGGTCTCTCTTGAAAATGAGTCCTTGTGACTCAATAAGACTACATGGATAAATACAGATGAAATAAAATAAATTTTAATGTTAATCTTAATAACAAAAACATTGGCTGGCTACAACTGTTGTCATACAAATCACATATAAAAGAGGTAATTTTTCCATATTTTCCTAGTTTAAAGTACTAAATATCGTTTTCCCTTAGACTAGCTTTCTCCTTTCTGTTTAGTATGTGTGTGTACTTGAAGCTAAATAAAAGTCCTCTCTGCTTCGGAATGCGACAGTCTGTCTAGCATTACTAAAAATAAACCCCACTCGTTTTCGTAACAAAATCCATTTCTAACTTCTTTGTACTCTTCTGTTTGTATTAACGAAAACACTTATTTGTCAGGTTTGTTGAAAATGAATACCAATAACGACGTAGACGCAAATGTTTCATTAGGCTACACATATTTCTATTTAGCAAGAAAAAAAATACATGACACCCTTAAAAACCCTTCGACGTAAACTTTGCATTACTCAGAATTATACAGAGTTGCTTGCTTTGCAGGAGATAACAAAAAGAAGCAGCGAAATGCAAGAATTAACAGCAAATACAGAACATAACGGACCTGCTCGGACGCCATGTTGACCCTCCCTCCTCTGAGTGCAGGGCACCGGGAATGTACTACTATTCGCCGTGGAGGGGGGCATATCTTCGTTTTTTTACTGTACGTAGTGTTCTTTTTCACTACATGTATTGCTGAAATAATACTTTAAACAAAATTTATTAGAATGTGACGAGTACTTTTTTCAAAATTCTTACCTGAAAATGGTGTAGAAGTTTGTTTTGCATGGAGGTTAAAAATGGTTCGTTCCAGTATAGCGAGAAGCCCAAAATAGAAAAACACGTCCATTCATATTTTCCATAAGTAAACTCGAGGGTGAATTCATTTTTACAACATAAATAGCAGCTATATTATTATATATCATTAATATTATTGTTGTTGTTATTGTGTGGGATCAGTAAACTATTACAAAAACATTTAACTGATGACTTTATAAGGTTAATGAGTATATTCATGAGTTTAGTCTGTTTATTTAATGTCATGATGAACATTCATTAGATAACTTAGTTTTTTATGCTTATACTGGATCTCTATCTATCTATCTATCTATCTATCTATCTATCTATCTATCTATCTATCTATCTATCTATCTATCTATCT